AAAAAATTAAAAAAAAAAAAAAAAAAAAAAAAAAAAATAAATCATACAACTCGGCCTAACCTATTTTATTAATTTTTTGTTGGAGGGGTGTCAGATGAAGGAACACATCGTCTTTGCACGATCTAATTTGAGTCCCGACAAATTTCGTTGATCCGAGAATTCTCTGAGATTCCTCGGCAAGATTGACTCCTCCCATAGCTGCGACATCGTTAATGTCATCGTCACCTCTGTCGAAACACAATGTAAACATTATCAGTCCACTTTTGAAATAAAGAAAATAAGCAACAGTGTATCCTGTAAGCTTACGTGTATCCCGCGGAGGAAAAGGTCTTCTTCTCCTTTTCCTTGATAACGGCCGGTTTTGGCTGTGTGGAAGGCACTACGGTTTTATTCGGCGTCGCGCTAACGCTGCTTTTGTTCAGAACATGCGTCGAGGGCATCGTTTTCGAGCCGGCCGTCATTGAGGCTATTGTCTTCTGTGCAATTGTGGGTGCACCTGACTGCCGAACAGATGACGGTGTGGTCGAGCTTATGATACTGCTCGCGCTCGTGCATACAGACATTTGTTGCTGCTGCAATGGTTGTGATGGCTGTGGCAGTGGATGCAACTGCGGGGGTTTAAGATGCTGTTGCTGCTGCTGTTGTTGTTGCTGCTGGTGATGTTGCTGCTGCTGCAAAACCTGCATTGGTGATTGTGGAATCTGTGCCGCCGCAGCCGTTTGTTGTTGCTGTTGCACAAGTGGCGCTTTGGAAAAGGCCGCGGGTGGACGTACTACTGTCGTAACTGAACGCACCTGTAGAGGTCACGGACGGATTAAACTTGTTTCTTCGTTTTCTTTACGAACGAGCACTTGTGCCTGATTTTTTTATTTTTAAGCTCGAAAAGTTAGTCAATGTGTACTTATTGTGATTCAAAGAGGTTAGTTGTTTAAATTTTATTGTACAGTTAACATGCAACGCATGTGAGTTGGCATCTTATAGATATCTCTAATACCAACTATAATTGTCATCTGATTGTTCTTTAGAGATTAATTTTATGCTTTTATACATGTGTATACATACATTTTTTTTTTCACATCATAGTGCTTTAC